GACACGCATATAAACCCCATGTACAAGAACTTACGTAAATAACTATATATATATAAAATATGTATTATATGTGTATAACTTTGTATAATAAGTATATAATCGATGTATATCGGCCAGAAAAAATGAACAATAAATTTTGCTGATTATTTATATAAAATATCCTTCTTAGACTCATAATTTTGAAAAAAATGCATAAATATTATATTTTTTGGGTAGTTTTTAATGTTTATCCCCCACTTACCCTATCAGCAGATCTTCAACGTCAAATGTTAAAAAGTTGTTGCCCATAAGACAAGCAAGAGGAACACTTGTTTGGAACTATGCGGTTCTGCCTATAGAGCAAACGGAGAAGGCTTCTAAGATCATCCACTTTAAGCGTTGTTTGTGTTGACCCCCATAATTTTACCATTTAAATTGTGGACTTTAGGCCACTCACCTTTGGATCAATTTTCACCCTTTTTGGGCCCAAAATCCAAAGAAAGAATTACCATATCTGGTTGCAAGTTGTTATGACACGCGCTTTTGTTGCGCGTGGCAATGGATTTCCACATTCAGAATTTATTAATTAAAAAATTTTCCAGCGTTATAATTATACGTTCAGCTCCTTTTTCAAGTTTGAGCTCTCTTTCTTTCTCTTCAATCTCCGATTCTTTGGTGATCAAAATCGCTCTACTTGTCGAGGCAAATAATACAAACATATATCCATAATCAGAAATAGGAAAGAGCTTTCTCTGTCCCACTATTTTGGAATTGCATTTCATTTCAGGTAAGGACTCGTCACGTTATTATAGTTCTTCCGCCCTTTAATTTTTTTTGGCCATCTCTGTAACCCCTTTTGCATTATATCGATTTCGTTTCAGTTTCTTGAATCAAATTCACCAATATAGTTAAGTTGTAATTTTTTTTGAAACTGCACTTGCTTTCTTGATGTCGTAAAATTATCCTTTTTCTTGGAACTATACTAGCTATTTTCTTTTTATGATGAAACTATTTTGTGTAAAGTTCTTGGAATCTTGTGTATTAGTGTTTAATTTTGAAATTGATTCTCTTTTGATAGAAACTAAGGTTCCATCAAACAATATAGATAAAAGGTTTTCTATAAGTTGGAGGTTAGCGTACGGAGTCCTGTATGACAAGAAGGTGCTACTGAAACTTAAAGGTAAGTTCTATAGAGCGGTGGTTAGATCGGCCATGTTGTATGGGGCTGAGTGTTGGCAAGTCAAGAATTCTCATATCTAGAAGATGAAAGTAGCCGAAATAAGGATGTTGAGGTGGATGTGCGGGCACACTAGGCTAGATAAGATTAGGAATGATTGGGAGAAGGTGGGCGTGGATCCCATGAATGACAAGATGCGGGAAGCAAGACTTAGATAGTCCGGGCACGTGCGGAGGAGGATCTTAGATGCCCCGATTAGGAGGTGTGAACGGTTGGCTTTGACAGGTACGAGGAGAGGTAGAGGGCGGCCTAAGAAGTATTGGGGCGAGGTGATCAGGCAGGACATGACGCGACTTCAGATTTCCGAGGACATGGACCTAGATAGGGAGGTGCGGAGGTCGAACATTAAAGTTTTAGGTTAGGGGGTAGTTAAGCGTTTTTCCTCATTGTTCTTGCTAGTCTGATAGTATTTTGTATAAGACTGCTAGCGGTTTTTGTTCTATCACACTTTTTATTTTTTATTTTATTACTACCATAATTATTGTCCTTCCACTTATTTGTTGTCACTTACGGTGCTAATATTATTTGTCTGCTTTATGCTGATGTTATAGATTATCTTTGAGCCAAGGGTCTCTCGGAAACAACTTCTCTATCTTCAGGGGTAAGGGTAAGGTCTGCGTACACTCTACCCTCCCTAAACCCCACTTACTAGGTTGTTGTTATTGTTGTTTTCTATAAGTTCTCACAGTAAACAAGCATTAGGTAAAGAACATGTGATATTTACATGAAAAACTCCCTGCTCAATGATTTAAACCCCCGACCTACTCCAGTAGGATTTTAGTTCCAATAAATTGAGAAAACTTCAAATTACAACCTATTACAATCTAGGAATTAAACTCTTAATCCATCATCCCTTATAATAACTCTATTGTAAGCCCTTTATAATAACTCTATTACAAAGCAACACTCTTGACTAACTCTAGTCAACACAACCAAAACAATAATGGTCAATGATGTCCTACAAATTACTTCTAGAAAGGTGTGTAAGTTTATAAGTAAAAAAACAAAAAAATAAAGACTCAACAAACATAAGGACTCAAGACATCTTCAGTGTTGGGATTTGGTACTTGGTTTGCAGCAACTTTGTTCTCGAGTGCACCTAGAGGAAACAATAGCGTCTGACACTTGAATGATAGGGTATTTTAGATTCTTGAGTGTTAGGTCAAACTTTGTATAAAGTTTCTTATATATGAGAGAGCATGTGAAGAGATAGAGCCATTTCAACTTTTGGTTTGGTCTCTAGCAGCAGCGGATGTGCTACTGCACTGCTATTACTCGGTATAGTGATACAACTTTTATTTGTAGAGTTGATTGTATGACAGTTGAGGAACTAATCCTATTTGGTCCTTTATCTATTCCCTTATCCGATTTCTCGAGAGTTTGGCCGGACAACTTATCATGTACGCTAGGCGCAAAGGAACTGATTGTACCAGATTCCTATCTAGTTCCCAAATGAAGTTTGACAAATTATCAAAACCATAAACGTATAACTTATCATCTTTGAATTCACATTTCACTTCTAATGCAGATATCTTAGTTATCCATTGCCTTTCTGATGTTTTAACTTCAATACCACACAAGGGAGGGGGGTGATTTGTGTGGTGTCCAATTTTTCGCTTAAACTGATTATGGAAGGACCTGGTTCGTCTAAGTGTTCCTTAACCTACTATTGCAGGAATAGTAAATGCAAAAAGTAAAGAACATAAGTATTTTATGTGGAAAACACCTGGCTCAAAAGGTGAAAAAACCATGACTTACTTCCTAGTAGGATTTTCCCCAACTCTTCACCAAATCACTGAGCCAAAAACGGCATTTACAAAACACTTTTGTAACCCTAGGATTAACTCTAATCTCGTTGTAGCAAATAACCTCTAACTATTGCGACAACCTCAAGTTAACTCTAACTTGAAAACTCTGAGTACCTATTACAATTGCCTATAGATAAAGCTGAAATGTACAATATGAAAACACCTAATACAATTGATCTATAATAAAAGAAAGACACTTGGAACTGGTTCTTCTATCTGGTTCATGTAGCTTCAGGTTTGCACACTTGAATCACACACGAAGTGCTTTCAAAATGCCTTGCTATTTTGCTCTCAATTCACGTTTAACTTCAGCTTTTGTGCATTCCATGTAATGTGAGAATATTCTGCAATATAGAGTTTGTAGATGAAGAAATTACTAGAGTTCTAATGCTACTCTTCCTTGGTGCAAGAGTTCTAGTTCATCTCAACTTCTAACTCCTTCTCTATCTTGGACAATGTTCTCTTTGAGTAAGGAGTCATTCTCTTTATCAATTATGAAATTTTTTCGATCAGGAGATATTAAATATACCAAGTTAAACTTATCTCCTTCACGTGCATCCCACATGCTTGAATCTGCTCATTTCTATGCACCACAAAGGATGGACCTGATTCATTCCTGAGCTTTCTTTGTCAATCTTCAAAACTAACTTTCACTTGGGCCAACAAATTCCCCCTTTTTGATGATGACAAACTCTGTGATTTTCATAAGCTTAGGCCCTATTTCACCTTAGCTCAACATCAACACAATGTTAGAAACATTTTTTATTTTTATCACTTATCATCAAGGACCAGATTCATTAGGTTATAAACATCACTGTTCAAAGCTAAACATCACTTGTTTAAAGCACAACCTTTTCCCCTCTTTTGGCATCATCAAAAAGTTGCATAAAACATGTGCAATACCCATATTTTAAAACTTACTCATTGCCACTAAGGTTATCCCAAATGCAATCACATATTAATCATCATTGATCAAACTAAGAATTTCAACCATTAAAGAAATATAAACAAACTTTTAGAGCAAAAACCAGCAGATTTCATTGATTTCATTGATAGGTGATATGATTCTTCCACAAAGCATAAAATGAAATAAAAATACTGAAAACATGAGCAAACAGAAAAACATCCCAAACTGGGTCACTAAAGGAACTACACTAGGCTAGGAAGTTAAGGCTTGGAAGAACTAGGTGCTGGGTTATTAGCTTGGAGAAGTTTCAGCATGTCTTGAAGAATTCCATCATTCTTCTTTTTTTCCCTTGCAAGTTCAGTTCTGAGAGCATCTCTCTCAGATTCTACTTCAGTCAACCTTGTCTTCAGCCTTGCTATCTCAGCCTCCCTTGCCTCACTCTTCTGTACCAAGGATCTGGCCTTCCTATTGACTGGGTCCTTCTTGGAAGAACCGGGTTCATTAGGAGTGGCAAGAACCTCATAGTCACAAGCAATCAGAGTTTTCACCCCAAAGTGATCTTTGCTTGTAGCCACCTCCAACTTCTTCAAAGGCACCTTAAAATGTGCAAGCACAGCTGTGAGAATGAAGCCATAGGGAATGACATGAGACTTGGTGCCATTGATAACCCTATCAAGAAGCTGGATTATAAACCCAGCCAATTTATCTGCCTCCCACTATCTAAACTCTCCATGAGAACTAAATCCATAAAATTTGCAATATGTCTCCTTTACTGCCTTGGCAGAACACATTTGATGACAAATTCGAACAACACTTTATAGAATGGCTTCTTCTCACTCTTGTACATAGCCTTGGGCTCTAGTTTCTCCTCATTGTTACTGAACTTTCTGGTAATGGAAAAGGTAGTAGGAAGGTTTTCTAGGCTAGGCCACTTATGCTTTGTGTAGTCATTGTACCCCTCAGTAGGTACACCTAGAATTTCACCCAACTCCTTCATATCAAAAGAGATTTGTACCCCTTTCACCAAGCTGGTAACCCTTCCATCCTGTACTGCAACATTTGCCATAAACTAAACTATTTCATCCCTAGCCAACCTGCCATCCATCTGAAAGACTATGTCCTTCCAGCTTTGCACTTCTAATTTTTTCAATAGTAGCACCATTCCTTCCTCCTCCAAATCCTTCGGGATTCTACTCTTCAGAATAGTTCTTTTGCCAAATTTGGCCATCTTGTCCTTTTCAATGTCTAATTCATCTTCCTCTTCTCCACTCCATTCCTCTTCTTCAGCAATTTTTACTTGTTTGGGTTTCACTATAGACCTGGTCTTTTTTACCCGGGTGGATGGGTCAACAAACTTTGGCATAGGAGTAGACTTCTTAGATGAAGTCTTAGCTTTCTTGGGATTGGGAGTCTGAAACCCCACTTCAGTATTTACATCTTCATCTTGATGGACCAGGTCCATCTCATCCACATCAACAGCCTCAACAGGCTCTCCCACTTTCTTCATCCCTTTGTCCAGCCGTTTCTTTTTGCCTTCTTCTGATGCTTTCTGCATCACTTCCTTATTCTTCTTTAGTTGACATCTTGTGGCTCTTCCTCTTGTGGGAGGAATCTCAATAGAGTCAAAGGGAGTAACCTTCATTTTGTTGTTATCCCTAGCAGTGCCAGGGGTCTTAACCATGGATTTTCTCTTCTTCTTGGGGTTGTAGCTGTCACCTACTTTTGTCAATAAGTTTGTGAGGGTTTCTTTAACTGATGAACCAGGTTCATCTACTTTTTGCCCAAGGTTAACTAGCCCTTCAATGGCTTCGCCAGACCCACTTTCCCCTGTTTTCTTGACAATTTCCTCAACTTTATCTGGTTCTGCTCTACAAATAGCCATCTTACCTTTATTAGAAGTGGGTGAAGAATCAACCACTCTTTTTCCCATTCCCCTTTCTTCACTTCGAACACCCTCACTATCTTTTTCTTTTTCCTCTTTATTTTTACCACCTATCTTTCTGGACTCCGGAGTTTCTACATCCACCACAGATCTAACCAAAGTAAACCTATTTTCCAGATTTTAAACTACCACAAAAATAACCTCATTAGTAGTATTTGTTCCAGAATTTACATGTTCATTATCAGAAGACCCAGTTTCTTCCCCCCTAGTAGTAGAATTGAAGGAGTCGTCAGAGTTCTTAGGTTCTTGGGCTTGACTAGCTTTTAATTGTGCATTCAATTTCTTTGATAATTCCTTCCCAGCAACTTTCTTGCGAGCAAACATCTTAACTCTTTTTTTCTTAGGCTGAGGAGTGGTTGAAGATGATGAGTTTGGTGGGGGAGTACCAGGGTTATCAGAGGGTTTAGTCATATTGTGCTTGGTTCTTGGAAGAAAGAAGAAAGGTAGATTGAATTTTTGAAGATGAGAGAGGATACAGAGAAATTTCGACGGTTTTGAGAATAACGAAGAAAAGGCAGAGATGATGATAATTAATTTAAAAGGAGTGGATAATTAATGGGTAACAACAGGCTTCATCAGTCATTTAGATGTCTAATCGAACTGAAATTTAAGTTTTAATATACGGTGGAGTCTTCCCTAGGATCTAGGTGATTTAATTTGGTTAGGACTCTTTTGAACGGAACTGGTTCAAATTTATTGGATAGGTTTAAAAGAGATTTGGACTTAGGTAGGACTCTGCTCAGGATTCAAATATTATTATTTTAAATTATACAGAGTGTAGAAAAACATACTTTGTTATCCCGATGAACCAAGTTCTTCACTGATTAGTCTCTTGTGTAAGTCTAAATTTGCCAAAATAGAGAAAATAACATTAGAGATTAATGAATTATTTTAACACATGGCACAAGAGTATATATTGAAAGTATGAGTCTGAGCAAAAATTAGTCTAATTATATACACATTTTACAAATTTTCTAACCAATTCTTTTTATTGTTTTTTCAATTTTTTGTCGTTTAGCATTGAACTGGTCCTTTTAGGTGATCTTAATCATCCCTAATTCCAACCTGTTCCTTTCAAAATGATCTCTACTTAACGTTTTCGTGAAGATGTCAGTAATTTGCTTATCAGTAACACAAAACTCCACAGTGATCAAACTTTTCTCATAGTTGTCCGTCAAAAAATGGTGCCAAATATCTATGTTCTTAGTTCTCTTATAATGAACCGGGTTGTTTGTCATACTAATGGCACTAATGTTATCATAAATTATAGGGATACAACCAACATCAATTCCAAAGTCCAATAATTGCTATTTGATCTACAACAATTGAGCACAACATGAAGCAACAACAACATACTCAGCCTTAGCAGTAGATAAGGCCACTGGATTTTGCTTTTTGGTAGCCCATGACACAAGATATGAACCAAGGAAGTGATCTATACCTGAGGTGCTTTTCCTATCCACAAGGAAACCTGCATAATCAGCATCAACATATCCCATAAGGTTAAAATTACTACCTTTTGGATACCAAAGACAAAGGTTAGTGGTGCCTTTCAAGTATCTCAATATTCTCTTTACAGCAGTCAAGTGGGACTCCTTTGGATTTTCCTGAAATCAAGCACAAAGACCTACACTGAACATAATGTCAGGTCAGCTAGCAGTGAGATATAAAAGAGAACCAGTCATTCCCCTATACAACTTCTGATCAACAAATGAACCAGGTTCACCTATATCCAATTTTGTAGCTGTTGCTATATGAGTATCGATTTCTTTTGATTCTTCCATTTTAAACCTTTTCAACAACTTTTTCACATATTTATCTGATGGATCATAGTTCCATTTGAGTTTTGTTTAATTTGTAAGCCTAAAAAGAAATTAAAATCACCCATCATACTCATTTCAAATTCACTCCCCATTAATTTTGCAAATTCCTTACTTAATTTATCAGTAGTTGCTCCAAAGATTATGTCATCAATATATATGTACTACTAGAAGGTCTTTATCTTTTTCCTTCAAGAATAAAGTGTTATCAATTTTACCTCTCTTGTAGCCATGCTCAAGCAGGAATTTTGATAATCTTTCATACCATGCTCTAAGAGCCTGCTTGAGCCCATATAGTGCTTTATCAAGTTTGTACACATAATCCGGACACTCCTTGCTTTAAAACCCTGGAGGTTGCTTGACAAACAATTCTTCCTTTAAATAGCCATTGAGGAAGGCACTCTTGACGTCCATCTGGTGAAGAGTAAATTCCATGTAAGCAGCAAAGGCTATGAGCAGTCTTAGTACTTCCAACCTTGCAACTGGTGCAAAGGTCTCATCATAGTCTATACCCTCCTCTTGGATATATCCTTGAACTACTAATCCTGCCTTGTTCCTTGTAACAGTTCCATCTTCATCAAGTTTGTTTCTGATGACCCATTTTGTGCCAATTACTGATCCGTCCTTAGATCTTGGAACCAGATGCCAAACTTGACTCCTTTCAAACTGGTTGAGTTCATCTTGCATTTGTCATGACTCTAGTTTGCTTGTCACGACCCCAGTTCCTAACAGTTACATAGCCTCTCGCAGATAAGTACAGACGTCTCTGTATCGATCCGCGAGACTCTAATAAACCGGCTTGTGATTCATGACTCTTATGAACCTAAAGCTCTAATATCAACTTGTCACGACCCTAGTTCGCCCTCCGTGAACTGTCGTGACGGCACCTAGTATCTACAACTAGGTAAGCCTAACAAATGCGAAAAACAAAAAATTTGCAGAAAAAATAATTAAAAACAAAAAAGAATCGAATGAAACGGTATTTAAGAGGCCGCCCGACATATACAATACAACTCTCGAAACTAACAACATTCTTCCAACACCCGGAATCTCATGAAACCACAAGTCTTTGAATGTCTACAAGTATCTAACTCCAGAGTGTCTAACAAAAGGAAGTACATAAGGGCTAATACTTAAAGAGAGAATAAAAAGGGACTCCTGGTCTGCGGACGCGACAGATATACCTCGAAGTCTCTGGGAAAGTCGCCTCGCCTCAAGGGTGATAGGACTGAGTCGATGTCCCTGGATCTGCACATGAAAAAAATGCACTGAAAGGGGCATGAGTACACCACAGTGGTACTTAGTAAGTGCCAAGCCTAACCTTGGTCGGGTAGTGACAAGGAATGTCAAGGCCCTACTGAGATTAAATGTAATATAAGAAATGACAGTATAGAATAAGACAGTAAAATTAAGTGCAATATTAAGAAATAATATAGAATAGAAGAACAACAATAACTACAACAGAAACAGAAAAATCACGGAAGGATGTATAGCTCAATACAGAGATAACAACCAAGGATCTATTAGTATCCTGAGGATCTCTTAGGCCTCATTTGTTTGCACTTAATGGAGGTCTAAATCTTAATCATTCAGATCTCAGACATTAAGTGCGTTTTAAAGTCTGAATCTTAATTATTTAGATATTAATCATTAAGTGTGTTTTTTTTACTTCACAACTACTTAATGGGTCTGAATAGGTCTGTATGATTAAGATCTATAACAGAGACTTAATTTCATTAAGATGCTATCACAAATTCATTATTAACTACCGCCAAGCCACCACCACCACCATACTCAACCACCACCACCACTACTACAACCACCACCACCATCATCCTCAATCATAGTCGCCACTATTATCGACCATCACCATCCACCATACCCACCACTTCGACCACCATCATTCTCACCCACAGTCAATAATTATCCACCTCAACTACTACAACCAACCACTCCATCACCATTAACAACCACAACGGACACCGCCCATCATTATAATCTACTACTACCTTCCTCAATCACAAACCACTGCCCGTCATGATTAACTAACACCACCCACCACCACCATCCTCAATCATAATTTCCACCATTACAATCACTACTAGCTATTAGCATGAACCACCACCATCAACAAAAACTACCACCAATCACCGCCTCTAGTTGGCATTCACCCGTTAGCCATCACCACCAATAACTATTATATTATAAAAAACTATATATTTTATTGATAGAATATTAGATTAGTTAGTATTTCATTTGAATTTTATGTTTATTATTTTTTGAATAGAGATAAATTTTATGCATTCAGATGTTAAAAATCAAACACTCTCAATATTTAGTATTCAGATCTTAAAACACATCTTAATATATTCAGATGTGTATTCAGATTTGGATGTCTTAATCTTAATACACATCTTGATATTAAGATGTGTATTCAGACTCAGACGTCTTAATCTTAACGAAAACAAGTGAGGCCTAGTATCCTCAATATCTATGCTGAGGATCTCTCGGTATCCCAAGGATCTTTTAGTATCCTCAATATCTACGCTGGGAAACTCTCGATATCCATATCCTCAATATCTATCCCGGGGATCTCTCGGTATCCCAAGGATCTCTTAGTATCCTCAATACGTGCCGGGGATCTCTTGGTATCCCGCACTACAGTCCAAATATATATATGTGCAGGGGATCTCCCGGGGTACCTCCCCATAGTCCCAAAGTAAACACGCAACAACAACACGAAGAAACACTCAATTTAATTCAATTTCACATCAAGGTAAACATGTATTTCTAACCTAGCATGCTTCATGTAGTCCAAATAAGACAGTTTAAGCAAATAAATCAATTAGGCATGATTCTCTAAGCTAACAACAAGCTTAAATTGCAAGTAGTATAAACAGGAAAAAGGAACATAACTAAATTTACTTAGAGAAAATCTGATTTTCAACAATTAGCAAAGTACGCACTCGTCACCTCACATACAAGGAATTTCAAATATCAATAACACCAAATCCGAAGAGGAGTTTCCCCCCCCCCCACAAGGTTAGGCAAACCATTTACCTCGAACCGGCTCAATAATCAACCTGAAACCACGTTCTTGCCATGAGTACTCGACTCCAAATGACCCAAATCTATTAAATTCAATTGGATAATGTAAATATAACTTCAAGTAACTGATTCCACAAATAAATTCTATGCTAATACGCAAAATTACGTAAAATAATCAAACTGCCCCTTGGGCCCACGTCTCGAAATTAGGTAAAATTTACCTTTTCAGAATCCTCATACTCTCACGAGTCTACCAAAATTATCCAAATCCAATGTCAAATCCCCAATCAAAACTCGAATTTTTGGTCTAAGAACTTTCCCCCAATTTTTATACAAATTCCGAAATTAAATGATGAATTCATGTTTAGATTAATGGGTTACAAGCAAAAAGGTGTTTAGAATCGTTATCCAATCGATATCTCTGAAAATCCCTCAAAACCTCGCTCAAATCTAAGCTCCCAAGTTGTAGTTTTCACAAAAATGGCTAAACCCTCGATTTTGGGCTTTTTAAATCTTCCCAGGCAATACATTCATTGCGATCGC